CACTCAGGCATTTTCCAGCTCCAGGATTTGTTTGCTATTTTCTATTACGTCAGTATCCTTGTCAAATTTTTCTGATATAATTTTGAATTGTTTCTGTTATCTTGAAGTTCATCGAGCTTTCTCAAAATAGTTATTCTAAATTTCCTGAGAAGTTACATATCTTCATTGCTCCAGGGTTGGTGACTAGTGGCTTATCTTGGTCTTTTTGGTGAGGTCATATTGACTTAAATGTTCTTGATAATGTTGATATTTGTCAGTATCTGCTCATTGAACGATAAGGTATTTATTCCAGCCTTTGCAGTCAGGCCTTGTTTGTACCTGTCCTTCAGAGGCCCTTCCAGGAATTCAAAGTGGGCTGAGGAGTTCCCTAAGCCAGTGGTCACTACATCCATTTTTGTACTACAGGGCATCCTAGGCCCAGGTACACTGCAATCCTTACAGATTCCCAGGTCCCCAGGCCTCTTGGACTTGGGGAAGATCAGGAATTGTTCTCTGGGTTCCCAGGTAAAGCCCCTAGCTTACTTTCCTCTATTTCTCCCAAGCAAAAGGAATCTCTCTGTAGGCTACACTGCCTGGAGTATGGGGAGGGGTGATGCAAGCATTCCCATAGCTGCTGCAGCTGCTGCTGTCATACCGGCTGTGACCTCAAGTCCGGCGTCTTCCAGACCTATGCAACATCAGGGTTTGCCCAAGGAGTGTTGTGGTCACTACAGCCTGCCTGCCCTGACATTTATTTGAAGCCCAATTAATTTCCAGTGATAAAGCTGACCAGAACTTTGGTGGGTTCTTCCTCCTGGGGCAGCTGATTCCCTTGTGGCCCAGGGTGAGTCTAAATGCTGCTTCTGCTTACATCAGCCTGGAATCAAGCACTGTTGGGTTCTGTTCAGGGCTGTGTTTCACTATGGCAAGACTGGTACTGACTGAGTTTCCTCCTTGTCTCCAAGCCATTAGATTCTCTCTCAAAGATGCATTTCCGGTGGTTCGGAGAGAGGTGTCAGAAGCAATGCAAGACCATCCTTCCTGCCTTCTTCAATGCATTTATTATTATGCTAAAACCAGGTGCTCTGATCTCTCACCTGATTACCTAGCTCTTGTGAAAGTGTTTTCTTGCATGGATACTTGTTCCATTGGATGTTCTTTCAGGCAGACCATTGCTGGAGAGTTGTATTCCATGATCTTACTGCACCTTCCACCTGGTTTTCTTTTTTAAATGTTTCTAATAAATAATTGTGAAGTGATAGCTTTATTTTAATCTTGGGGATCAAAAGCATGTAGCTAAGAACTTTTCCCAGCTGGGCGCGGTGGCTCACGCCTGTAATCCCAGCACTTTGGGAGGCCGAGGGGGGTGGATCACGAGGTCAAGAGATCGAGACCATCCTGGTCAACATGGTGAAACCCCGTCTCTACTAAAAATACAAAATTTTGGCT